CCGGCCTCCGGTGGGCCACACACACCGTGGCCACACTTGCCCACCAACCGGGCAGAGAACCTGTTGCTGAAATTTTTGAAGCCCACCCCTGGTTCAAGGATGAAAAAAAACAACAACAGAAGTTTTGAGGTAGCATAATGACACCAGTAATTAATGTTCCTTCCCTTTAAATTTACATTTCATTCCATAGATAAGATGTTCTACTCTGTTCTGTGCAAGTTTGATTTTAGAAGCCCAAACAGATTTACCTACTTGGATCATATCCAGCTTGGACTGGAAAGTCATTTCTCCCAAAGGACCATAATGCTTCATATAGCATCGCTCTGCCATATTGGAGATTCCTACCAGCATCCTGCTTAATTCTCGAGTCTGCAGGAAACATAAAGAAGTAGATAGACAAAACTTAAGGAGATGTAAGAAAAAAAAACTGTATTGACTTGCATTGAAGAAGTCACAGTTGGCTATTTATCAAAGGTAACATGAAAGTTAAATACAGCACTATCTTCCTTAACATTATGGCCCTCAATTTTCTCATTCTATACTAAGTAGAAGAATATTCCAATCAATCAACATTATTCTTCTGCTATAGCCAAGTAGCCTTCCTGCCTGATCAATATTTTTTTCCAATGCACCTTATAATTTAATTGTTCCTTGCCCCAAATCAAAATCTTTCTAATAATATGAGCTCTGATGAATAAATACAACTCACATTTACTGTCACCATGCAAAATCATCCCACCACCCTCACCCAGAATTTAAATTCTGGAGTGGAAAAAAGTACATTTGGAATTCCCTACTCACTTTAACTCTAATGCAAATATTGCAAGATAATCTCAATTAAAATTCCTTTCACAAATACATGATAGTACTGCTTAGTTTTCTCTTCTTATTTTAAGTCTTTCTCTTTTTACCCCAACTTTGTGTTTCTTTTTCTATTCAGCCTAGGGTCGATCAACTACACTTGTTAATGCCTATCACTTCGTAGATTGCATGTGCTTTCACAGAACTGCTTCACTGTGGTAATTTATCCTCATGCCAATAGGAAATTAGAATAACAGAGTTGGAAGGGACTGTTTGAGAAAAAGGTTTAGGTGTCTTGATGAGTGTAGGAGCTGTAAACTACCTTAAGGTAAACTACTTTAAGGGAGAGGAAGTATGAAGGCAGGGGGACTCTTGGGAACAGCAACCTTTGGGAAGGGAATTCCCTGCCAGGTAGGGTACAGAAAGACAAAAGACAGACCTTTCAGTTACACTTCCCATTAATGGCATGAAGCCAGGACAGGCTATTTATATTCAAAGATATCACTCTCTAGATAGACCTATCGACACATCCACCAGCGCATTCCAAGAAAGAAAGAAAAAAGAGGCAGGGGGGATTCTAAAAAGTCAGAATTCTGCTCTCCCTCACACCCAAAACAGGTTTGAGGGGCAGAAAAATAGGCCAGGGACTGGATGGAAGTGGTTGTCCCAAGAGGAAATTGGCAGAACCAACTGGAGATACAGATTTTCTGCCACAGAACATATATTTGTCTTACAAGGTAGTCTAGAGGAGCAGCACACCTGGATAAGCTAGTACTATTTTTACTGTAAGATTACAATAACAAAATATTGAAAGTCTGAAATAGATTTCTCCCTGTGGTCTTTACAGCCATGAAACTGGAAAGGTCCCTTCTGACAGATTTGTCACACTGACTTTCCTGCTGTGTGCTAAGCTGCCTCTTATTCCACTCTAGTCCTGACAGCGGCTCTCCTTCCAAAACCATTTCCACCTACCATTACAACGTGTCATTCAGTGGTGGGATTCAAATTTTTTTTACTACTGGCTCTGTGGGCGTGGCATGGCTTGGTGAGTGTGGCAGGGGAAGGATACTGTAAAATCCCCATTCCCCCTCCCGATCAGCTGGGACTTGGGAGGCAAAGAATAGATGGAGGTGGGGCTAGTCAGAGGTGGTATTTACCGGTTC